CTCAAAAGCAGCTTTAATTTTTTTTCTATAAACTTTTTTTCGTATGTAGGAAAGAACGGCAGAGAAACTGTATTGGTTGCATTTTCGGCGAACTCTCTGTATTTTCGGAAATCGCAAACAACAGAAATTAACATTGCAAAAGTACAATATTGTTGATAGAGTTTCTTTATTAAATGAAATCTGATCTAAAACCCAGTTTATAAAAGATCATGAACAAAAAACAAACGAGTAGTTTAGGTAATTTTGCATTTTCGAATTTGCAAATTCGAATTTCCAGCGACCCATTTGCTAGTCTCGGACATGGTGGCATGGTGATTATTTCCATCAGATTAGAATACGACAACGCCCCACGTCGCGGGAGTTTGTAATTCTGGGAATTCCTTCTCGTTGTTGGGAGATGTTATAGCTGTACGAAATGCACTTCTAATTGTCGAATTTGTAGTAATGTATAAGCTTAAAGGGGATCTGGAATGCCATATCCTGGCAATGTTAAATTTTTTAGTCCAATTCTCAGAATCTATTGAAGTTAGACTTATGAAATTTTTATAGGTTGCATACATGTCACTCATGATAACACTGAAACAACGATCTTGAAAACTGTTCACTATTTTTGTAGATATAAATATTTTCTCATGGTTTTCTAGTAAAGAAAGTTCTGTAGAATGGGTAATACTACAGTAATGAGAAAAAAAAATGTTTCAGTAAATGAAGGATACCTTTATTAACAACTAAAATTTCAGTTTCCTACTAGAAATGTAAGCTGAGAAAAGATTAATTTAGTATCAAAAATACCAGCTTTCGAGAAATGGGCTTTAAAGAGGCAGCCCTCAAAACATGCCAGCTCAATAACTTGCCTCATTAGAATAATCATTTTCCAATAACTACTTCCTTTTGATCTTGTTAGCTTCACAACAAAGTTTTTATTTACTTTCTGCATGTCTAAGTCTTTCAGTATTTATGCACTGCATTATGTTACAGTATCTATTGGAGTACAGTATGTATTAGAGCCAGCACCTAAGCCCAATAAAAGGACTTCACTTATTAATAATAAAAAAATACTTGTAAGAAGGATATCAACATATTTCAAACTAATTTGAAGAGAAAAATGGAAATTTATGAAAAATAAAATACCAAAGATTTTTTACTGTAAAATCATTTCATTTCTCCTTAAAGGAATTACTTTCTGCGCCTAATGTTCTACGATTTGTAATAAATAGAGCTCGGAAGTTTGGAAAAATGACTTTTTATTTTACTTTTAAGGATAAGATTTACTTAATTTTAACCTACTTCTGAAGTTGGAAAGTAGATTTCCGTTTTGAATTTTTTGCCTATTTTAGCCAATTTCTGGTATTTTGCCTGTTCTACCCTACTCGTCATTATTTTGCTTTATTTCCCTAGCACCAATCTCGATCAAGTTGGAAATCTACCTGCAAGCCTGTACAACATGAAGACATGGTCCTGTTTTGTGATTCTAATGAAGTGGGGGCTCCAGAGCCAGGTAGTGTTAAAAATTTAAAAGAAAAAGGAAGATCGTACCAGTCAAGATAGTGATCATTGATCCAGAAGCTGATTACAATATTTGTTATAGACATATTCAGTCTTTTCAAATTATTCAAGGAAAGATTATTTCTTTATGCAGAGATTGAAAACTTAATGGAAAACTAATATTTTTAGAACAACAAAATTTCAGAATGGCAATAGCATATAAATCTGTAATTTGTCACATTGGGTTCCTCAAAATAAAGAAGGAAGAAAGAAAATAAGATCTCATTCAGGAATTTGAAGATTTTTGGATGCAAGATTCATCTTAAAATTCACTAATTGCTTCCTTATTTTAATTTTCTTCTGAAAACTCTGGTGTAATGAGTGACAAACAATGGGAACAAAATTTAAAGATGGAATAACTTTGTAAAGGAAGATGGAATCCAATCTTGATGAGTGATTTCTGCTTCTGCCTTCACAGAGAAACTTTAACTATTTCAAGATCATCTCACAAGCAAGAATTCAAAGCATTTGAAATTGATTTCTGTGCATTACTACATAAATAGAACATGCCATTTACATAAATGTAAACTGAAGAATACTTTTTCTAATAGTATCGAAACTGTTACTTGTACTTCATAATTTTGCATTAGATATTATCAAGGTAAATGTACTTAAATATAATAAAATGTTTCAAAAATGTAGTATGTGTATTAACGGAAAATCTATGGGTACTTCTGAAAAACGAGTTTAATTTTTTGGTTTTATGATTCTAATATGAGGAGTTACAAAAGAAATTTCCATTTATCTGCAAGTGAGATAGAGGCAATAGTAGCTATGTCAGTCCTGCAGGAATATATGCAGTAGGTGAGTGGGCAAAGAAAGTATGGTAGTTGCCAGTTGGTTGTAAGAGAGGAAACTTCATTTAGAAATGTCTATTTTTAAATTATTAATTTTTGTTGACAATCAGATAAAAAGTTTCAAGAAATATTTTTAAATATGTAAAATAATTAAAAATTGCGTTTAGTAGAAAATAATATGTAAACCTCAAAATTGTGTAATTTTATATATTCGTATGACCTTTGCAGATTAAATCCAAATTGAGAAGTTGAAAGTTGCCCCTTATCTAATTGTGTGCAAATTATTTTTAAAAAAGTCTTTAATGGATAAAGTTAATTTTTTTTGTAGAGGAGAAGGAGCTGAATCAAATTAAATTTTGCCTTGGGGACCCAAAAGCCAACCCAATGGTGTTCCACCCACCTGTCTGTCTAGTCCTCTGCTCAAAAGCTGCTTGTGTCCTCAAAACAGTAATAGAGTTCCTACTACTAACGAGTTCAACTGAAGGAAGTCAATAAAACCTGTTTCCTCTTGTGTGCCATAACTAAAGTAAGAAAGTTCAAATGAAATATCTAAACTTCGCGTATATTGCAATTTTTGCAATATCTGCATAGGTACTTGAAATAAAATTCTTTATGTTGCCAAGAACAAAGAAATTCATGAGAGTTTACCAAGCTGTAACGGCAAAACGTTAACTAGTCAAATACGTTAACTACATAAAGTCACACTTACTTACAGGTGACTGACTAGGAACCTTGGGATCTATTGGCACCGAGGCCAATTGCCCTTTACGGAGCTTATAATGGCTAAAAATGAATTTCATAAACTAAGATGTTCCAATGAAGTAGTTTTAACTTACTATTTTTGATTTGTGTCACCTCTAGAATGGTACACCACTGTGGTGGACCACTCAACCCCACTGCCTTTCTCATGTAACTACGCTACAAAGAATAGTACTAAGAATAGTAGCGTAGTTTGCCCCTATATCAATTGAAAATTATCACTGCCAAACACATGTCCATGCAAGTAACACAATTTCTGGATGATATCTTTAGCATAATTTTTTGCAATAAATGTGTGAAGAACTCAAATGAGCCACCTGAAACAAGCATGATTTGCTGACATCCAAAGTGGTGTTGTTTGACAATGCCTTTTCATCATAAACCAATAGAGTCTAAAACAAGAGTGGGACCAACATATTTTCTGTGTCCCCTTATCCATTCAGTTTTTTATTTAGATACAGTTTGCTTGTACAAACTTTTACAGTCTATGTTTGAATTTTTAAAATGTATTTTTGGTTGGTTATAGAAGGGGATGTCTCTAACTTGGCTGTATTTTATGGGAGACATTTTGTATGCTTTTCAGCATTCTTGACTGTTTTCAACAGATTGTAGATTTTGTTATACAATTTTAGGGGTCTCTTTGAAGGTTGGGCTACCTTCAATGGCTAGATTCGACTGTGTCTTCACATTTTTTACCTTCAAAATGTGCAATTTTTTAAAATAATCAGTATTATGTACTATTTTTTGCAAAAATTAGAAATTGATAATTAAACAAAAATTTGTTTTATTTATAGAAAAATAGCAAGTCAATCACTACAGTACAATGTTGGCTTTTACAACTAAATAAAATGCTGGAATTTTTAAAATTTTATATCCCTAGATAATAATACTTGCTCAAATATAGATACAGCAACAATGTAATAGATCTGTTTGTGTTCATTGTAAAGTTATAAGTAATATATACATTCTATTTGTAATTTTTATCAGGAATTTAACAGTTACATAAATAACATGTTTTTTTACTAGGCAATGGGACCACATTCAAAATTTATAGGGAGGCATAGCCCTTCTGCCTCGTGTGCACACACCTATGCTCTTAACACTGCACAACACACATGAATAATGTTTGGAGCAGGTCCAGTGATGTTTTTGTCTTTCAACCATTTGTTCAGATTCAAATGTGTCGCTACCAACTCTTCAGACATATGAACAATGGTTTTCATAGGTTCAGAGTTGACAATATGCTTCACAATGCTGTATCACACCTCATGTTGAGATTTTGTAAAGGAATTTCAAAGCTTGTTAAATGTTTCTGGCTGATAATTTGATAATTGTATTCTAAGTTCATTGATAATTTATTTAATGGAAAAAGAAATATTATAAAAATAGAAATGTAATCTATTACAAGAATATTTTCACATGCAAAGGATTGACTGACTGATGAAATGTTTAGTGATTCCGGGTACGTCAACTACCAGTGTGATTAGTCCCATAAGTGTTGTGCATGTTTTTGCTCGGGAGGTGGCAGTAATCTTTCCCCCCTGTATAGTGAGATCCGGTGCCACCTACTGTCAGCTAGTGGGGTTTTCCTCACTCAGGTATCTCCCACCAACGGGGCACCGCCCATGCTGGGACAAACTCTATGCTCCCGACCAACTCCTGGCATATGGGTTAGTGTACTGCATGTTAGTGTGTGTGTGTGTGTGTAAGGAGTGAGGATAGGACAAGGAAGAGAAAGGTAAGGTCGCACGCTGTTCATGGACCTTTTGTTAGAGTACCGCACCAGCAATTGCCTGGTATTGATTGGAGAAACCATGAAAAACTACAGATCAGAGCAACCAGCCGCTAGAATTCTCCTCCAGACAGCGACTGAATTCGACAAGCCAGTGTCGAAAATCCTGCCACCGTCAGGACTCGAACCTACAACCTCCCGGTCAGAGGGACTGCAGTGACATCAGTTGATGCCCTGAGCAATCTCTCCCAATCACATGCAATGGAAAATTATTTCAACTAAATGTTCAATTACTTTACATAAAGCACTAGACTGTTGTTTTCCAGGAAGGTCATCAGTCTCGTCACATACTACCAGTTAAAAGTATATATATATTTATTTCTATTGCATATTTAAAAATAAAGTCTTTAATTTTTAGTTAACATATGCAGAGAACATAAGAGTCAGTGAAAATACACTAGCCTAAAAATAGAAAATAATGAGAGTCTAAAGCAACATCTACTTTCACTGGTTATACTTCATTGAAAATATGGATGTGCTAGAATAGGAATAGTGAGAAGAGGCAGTATCTACATGAAGATTTCAACAGAATATCTAAATAATAACACAATGCATTATTCTATTAAATTGCATATCTTTATTATGATGTTGTGTATGAACAGAATATACAATATTACAACATTCGTTCAAAAAATATAATATTGAAGCATAAGTAAAATTGAATTTACTTATGAAAAATAACGGCACTATTGAATACAATATGCAGGCAAAAAGATCAATAAGAGCAAAAAGCAAGAATTTAAAAGGTATGATAGAAGCTCTACCATTTGCGTCTGATAGATAGCATATGCAAAACAATCCAAGTGTGGCAACAGGACCCAGTGACTAGATGTCAGACAAAGCAACACAGTAGTATTATTTGCAACAAATATCATCATATTAAAAAAAATCCTTAAGACTGCATTAAGTTGAAATCAACACCTGATTTCATTGTTTTGCAAATTCTTCCATCACCAAAACTTGGTAAACAGCATCTATAAACAATTTTGCTTAATCTTGATTATATAACATTTAATAGATAGTTCAATACAAATAAATGCATACACAAGGATCTAAAATGAAAACCTAAAAATGACAACTAAAAATCAATAATAGAAAGCAAAGAATACGTAAATCATACAGGACCTATATATATATAGTAAAAACTATTCACAACACAACAGTACATATTGATTCCTCTCATCATTATATCTATTTCACTCTAACTACCCTTCCCACCCACCCACTAAAGATTTGTTGCCATTAGAAATATTCCTCTAATTTAGAACAAGAAATATCCACTAAATATACATACAGTTCAATAATTCCATACTATCATTCCTGGAAAATATTTCAGGACAATATTAGTTTCCCATCTTGCACCCTTAGTTGGGACGGATACTCCTCAATAAGTACAATTTCCTCATTGGTATCTCTTATTCATCGAAAAGACAGAACTGTAGGTTTATGTTTAGTGTAGTATAGTACTTTAATGCATGTTAAGGCCACTTTATCCCCCAAAACTCTACTGATATATATCACATATATAACATTCTTGGAGTAGTGTCTTGTGGAGTGTATGTAGATGTCTGTGTTTGTGTATGTGTGTGTGTGAGTGTGTGTGAGACATTATTGTGTATGTGAGTGGTAGTTGTTACTTTCTGTAACCTACAATGTTACACAAGCATTGTGCTGTTGATAGATGAATGTTAGTGCAGTGCTGTGCCTCTTCTGTAATAGTTATATAACTCCCTGCTCAGTTAGTATTGGTAGTTACTCTCTTACAAAGTAAAAAAAAAATTGTAGCATTATAATGAGACAAGAAAGGAAAACTCTATAATGACAATATTTATACATGAAAATATAATTCTTTTTTCTATTAATAGTGATGTTCTCAGTTTTAATTGAAACAATCTTGTTCTGTACATACAATACAGTGGAGACTGAAATTTATATAAATCTTTCAGGAGCTTCAGAGATTAATAGTGTAATAGGACCATAGTTAAGTAAATACAAAGGTATCTATTATCCCTGAATTATGCTCTGGTCAGAGAGAAAGAGAAGGTGGAAATTTTCTAATAAGAAGGTTTCTTCAAAGAGTTTTAGGGTTCTAGACTAACTATAGGCCGACCCAGCCAATGCATGTTGGAGTGCTCAGATATCTGGAATGGAAATAGCCTATCTGAATTTAAGGCATCATGAATAACAAAATTCTGAATTACACTCACCCTAACAAGTATTTGTTAAAAATTTTCTTTAATAAAATACTTTATTTCATTTGTACCGAAAAATAACATTCACCAAATTTAGTAAATGACAGTTCCTGAATTCGATTAGTTACAGTAGAATTTAAGACTATAAATATTTCTTCACAAGTCTGTAATAGTTGGTCTTATCCTATCCATACAAAAGCAAGAGATAATACAATTTTAGTCTAAAGGCATATATGTCCTAAATCATTTCAACATGAATCTACAAAATGTTGAGAATGTTTCTAATTCTAAATTTTCTGTCATAAAGCATATGTATTTAGAAGTGCATTCTAAAATGTGGAGTTTCTTACAGATATTCATTTGTCCACTCCATCAACAGCAAAAGCAATACATGTTGTTTTCTTATATAATTTGTTTCTAAATAACCATAACTAAGAGTAAGCTTTTCACATATCTTAAGTAAGTTTCCTAAGGGTTCAAACAAGTACATATTTCTCAAAAAGCTAGAAAGATAAGAATTACAAAACAATTAATATTTGATATATATATGCCGCATAAAATGGAATCTGTGATATGATGATATGTGTCAACAAGAAAAGTACTGAATATTTTTCAACCTTTGACACACTTAAGTTCCACATAACATGAAACTAGACAGCAAAATGTGATATATGATTCCTTATTTATTTATAATATACATTACGTTTTTAAGGATTTTCTATGATATTAAAAGATTGCATGAAAAAAATCATTGGAACATCATCTGAGAACTTAACTTTCAATTAATTTACAAGACTTACACTGTACTCTGCAATGTACTGTGTTCAATGTTAGCATGTGCAATATTGTTATCATTAAGTGCTATGCTCTGGCTGAGCAGGCTGCTTCACATCAGCTTCTGCTTGGCACACTCTGGGCAGATGATGTCATCAGCATCAGTGATGAAGCCACGGCCCACCAATGATGTCTTGCACATGGCACAAATGAAGCAGTCATTGTGCCAATGACGATCCTCAAAGGAGATGAAGCGGGTTCCGCCAATGCCTGCACATACATTTTCCGCATTTGAGAGACAAATTCTCTTGAAATAAGGTTCAAAATTGAATGGTGCTACAACAGCACATGTTTTCAGGTATTATTTACTGCATAATGGTGTAGTGATAATGGTTACATAATATTATAATATTGCAACTTCTGGTTCTAACCTACTAACACTTCAACCAGAACTTGAAAAACTCCTAAACAAACAAGCCAAAGATTAATAAAAACTAATTTAATTTTTTGAAAATTCAAAAATGTTAATGAAAATGATTTCCTGATATTGAATTGTGTGTATTCTTCACTCACAAAATATTTGCCAGAGCTGTGATTGGAACTCAAGCACTTAGGTTTACACAGTAACATCATTTCCCCTGTGGTATGTTTGGCTGTGACAATAAATTCTTTATGACAAGGTGATTCTAACACATAAGATGCAAAAAATAAGAAAATATTTGAAGCCGTTAATAAGAAAAAAATATTTATGAATGTGTGGAAAATTATCACAAATTCTCTCAAATTTACTTGAAAATTACTAATATTTTGAAAAAAGTGTACATAATAAGATTTATGATAAAATAATAACTAGATTGCATTAACAAAGAAATCTCTAACTTCAGTATTGGCCCTGGAGGTCCCCTACTTGCCGGAAGATGGCGTGGAAGCGATGATATGGACGAGAGTGAAGAATGAAAAAAATTGGGCTCTTTCCGAGAACATTTTGAAAACTATTTCACATTCGAGAGACCACATTATCACTCAGATCGATCAGAGAATATTCATTTTGGTGGAATTCCTGTATTCAACATCGGCACATATATTGTTCACTGTCCGATGGGCAAACATATCGAATAAGGAAAAGAAGAAAAAAAACACACTCTTTTCGCAAACGAAGAAATCCACAATGTGCTTTCCCGTCAAATCTCAACATCGATTTTTTTTAAAATTACTTATCTTATTCTATTCTAGGCATATGAGTTAATAAAAATTCATGATTAGAAATCTGCCAGAAAGAATTCTTATATTTCAATTTTAACCTGTCTTTACACAATCCCTGATGTTGATAAAGAACATCCTTGAAATTACGAAATGTTTGCACACAATCATGCAAGTGCGCTCTCGCTCTCTTTCTGTCTCTGCATCTCTTACTCACTGCCATGCTCTCTCCCGGTAAATGAGTAAAAATAAAATTTATATTTTTTCTGTTCCCTCTTAGATCGATTCAGAACGAGAGGGAAAAAGTCTGTGCAAAATTTTAGCCGATTTGAATAAAAATATTTAGAAATATTGCGCATGCACACTCACACAATACGGAAAGTAAAAAGTTGTTTGAATTTTAAACTTTCCTAATGACTCAATTTAAACATCATGAAGAAAAATTAATTATAATTGACAAAATTAAAAACAATTTTATACTATTCTTCGACTACATGTAATACAGAGGAGAAGTATTTGAACCTGACCAAAAATTCGAGGTGCGGATTTTGGTGACAAAATCGGTTTTCAGAGTATCAGGGAAGAAAAATGGGGTTTTCATCATGATGTCTGTGAATGTATGTCATGTACAACTCATGAATTAAAACCGATCAGCTCTAACTTGGTTCACACGTCAGGTGTAAGATACATCCGTGCCGTCCCAAAGATATTCAAAATTGGCACTAGTGGCAAGGAGATCAGGCAGTTTTATATGAAAAAGATGCAAAAATTGTTTATTCTCACGTACGAGACCTTCGCGGAGAAATAAAAAATACGTTTTAAATGAAAAGTGCCAAAAAATCTTTATACATTCTTTCCTAAACTGCATGAATACCCTATTATATTAAAGACGAAATCTTTGAAACGATTATTAGAACCTAAATAATTACATTTCCGCAAAATTATTATAATATCCAAATTTTGCATTTCACGGACGAGAAGTTTCGATATGTCACGCAACCCTTTCACTCTTTCTGTACCAATCTAAGAGTGGAGAGCAGGCAGCAAAATTTTAATGTTTATTTGTTTGTTTGTTTGTTTGTTTGTTTGTTGGTTGGTTGAAGAGCCACCCTTTTATTCCGACTCTCTCGCTCTTAAAAAGAAACGTAAAATTCATTAAAAAGCAATACACTATGTAGTTGATGAAATATAACGTTACCGGTGATAGGCTTGGAACAAGATGTGCAGCGCTTCGCAAACAACTCTCCAAAGCATTCAGCACAGTATGGCTTCTCGTCACGGGATGTAAAGCGCTGGCCAGCCAGTGAAGTGTTGCAATTTGTGCACGTGAAGCACTCACGATGCCATGGCTCATTCTTGTAGGTCACTCCACCACTAGTAATAATCTGTGGATATAAAAGTCTTGCTTAGACATGATGTCAATGTGGTTCAAAAGGTGCTGCTTCCATAATAACGACACACAATATTATTACACTGCCAGATATTATTTAAAATAATAATAATAATTTCTAGCATAAGTTTATTCGCAAAGAAAAAAATCAGCAAAGTTGCAGAATGGTTCGACTAAGACATATTTGCCAAAAACTCAGGAATAATAAATACAAATTTTTAATTTGGAGTGAAAATAAAATTAAAGTGAAAGAAGACAAATGAAATAGGAGGAAAAGAAAGAGATGAAAGAAAACAGAACCAGGTGAGAAAGATAAAGGGGGGAAAAAGCAAAGAAGTGCTGGAAGATGTACATAGATATTTTAACCTAGAACATGGAATAGACGGCAATTAAGTTCACTGAAAGAAGGATTCCGTTTTCTATTCAATGTTTAACGAAGGTTTATAGCCCAAAAATGTTCCGAGAAAAAGTGTAAGTGTAACACATTTTGGTAAATACAAAATGGTGATATCGAAATCACTTTTCAACCAGTAATTATCGCTTTAATGCGTTAACACTTAATTCGACAGTGGATCTATGCTTCTCAAACGTGGCAAGAGGAATGTGGTAAACATTATCAATTGATTTTCTCAAACTTATGAATTACGGAAGTCATATTTTTTTAAAAAATATTTCCATTCGAAAAAAAATCTGTGTTAATTTATAAACATAGAAATATTACTTATGCCAGCACGACAACAGCTACTTTTTGAATTACTATCCCACACCAAAGCTCGTTTGATTTAGCCCGACAGACTATTTGGCAAAGATGAAGCTTCTAACAATCGTCATTTTTCAATCCGATTCGGAATCCGTCGAAACAAGTGCACTTTCGGTTGGAAGAGTTTCCTTCGGGAGACTGACCTTGTTGCATTTAACGCAGCGCGTGGCGAACTTCTCTTCATAGCAGCCGGCGCAGTAGATCTCTTGCTCGCGCGGGATGAAGCTCTTGGTGCCGATGGGCGTCTTGCAGACACAGCAGCAGAAGCACTTCTCGTGCCACTGGCGTGTCTTGTACTCCATCTTCTTCGTGCCTGAACACACGGAGAAACAAACCGTAAATATAACGTGCCATTGAAATTCACCTTAAACGTATTCAGGAATACATTAAGATCAATTTCGGTAGGATTGAGGAAAATGTAGATTAATGATTTGGACAATAAGATAATTTAAATATTTACAGGAATGTTAGGTGTAGTAATATTTAATCAGTGGGTACAGGCAGATGCAAGTCTTGAAATGCCGCGAACTCAAATGCGTACATTTTACAAAATTTGTAAGAAACCGTAATACCGTATTTACGCGAATCTTATGCGCGCTTTTTTCGACCAAATGTAAAGCTCAAAATCGTGGAGCGCATTAGATTTGAATGCAAATCAGTTCCGTAGGGAAAAATGGTGATTCACGCTAGTAATTCATTGTATTAATAAATTCATTTTGATTCAATTTGTTCTTTCCTTATTTCATGTTCACTAATTTTCTTCTTTAACAATGTGTCACCTACACTACGAAACTTTCAATTCTATAGATTCTGAAGGATATATATACGATCAATCCATTGTTATTTTACATACATTTAAATAAAATACTGTATATATTATTCTGTCACTGATGCGCATTACATTCGACACAAACCTTTTTTTCATAATTTTAAGTTTCAAATATGGAGTGTACATTAGATTCGCGTAAATACGGTATTTGTATTTTATTCTGAAAAGTTGCTGGGGATGGGGAGAGATTTCAACTTTCAGACATTGTCAGCGATGATCAGAAATGGTTTTCTTCTTCTTCTTCTTGAAATACTTCAACTAGATGACGTTTCGATATTTCACAAGCATCTCCCCAGCATATCTGCAATCTATGCCCATTAAACCATAAGCGGGAGGCCCCAACACCCCAGCCCGCATCCTTGTCACCCATAAGCGACGCAGTTCCTTGCGAAAGTCGAGGCGGTGATGTCAGTGGCGTCTAGTCGAAGCGCCAATCGTTCAAAATAATGTCACCCTAATATCGACGTGGACGCACCAATTACGCGACGAGGTGGGCGAGGGAAGGGGGAGGGGGGAGATCAAAGCATTTTAGAAGAAGTGGGCAGGCGGAGGCACACCCACCGCCCCCCACCCCTTTCACCACGGTGCCGCCCGCAGCGCCACGCGGCGTCTAGCGGCGTAACTGCAGCGGTTACTCAACGCGGCGTCGCCGCCAACTAATATGGCAACTTTGAGCAGTTCTGGTTTTTATTCAGAGTAGGTCAGAGCGGCCCACGTCCCGTCTGGGGGGTCGCTGGCGCCGACAGGTGCGCTTCGGGTGGGGTGGGGGGAGCCCGGTGCATCTTCCCGGATGGGCGGCGGTTGCGGCGCGAACGCCGAGTGGGGTGGGACGAGGGCAGGGATGGGGGAGAGTGCAAGGATGAGGCACAACGGGTGGGGCGGGACAGGACAGGCAAGGACGGGGTGTAGGCGGGAGAGGGGCGGGTGGAGGCGGGCGGCGCTTGAAAGACCACCCCTTTTACCGGCGCGGTGGTCCCGGAACCGGTTGCAGCGAGGAAGTGGCTTCAAGTTTTATTCTTCTTGCTTCCGGCGAGGGATCGGATATCGGAGAGAACAATGGAGAGAGACGGGATTCGAGGCGGGCTCTTCCACATCCGTCCCCTGGCACTAAAGGCTGACCCGGGTTCGCTGAAAATTTTTTCCTTCAACGAAGAAACCCTGGGCATGGGCTTAGAAAACTTTTGCCGAACTCCTAGTTATATTATTCTTTATAATTGTTACATTTTACTTGTTTCATGGCAACTTCTTAACTTTGAGTGATGTTTCATATAATGCTCTCATATAACATTCCCTCGAGAGCAACAGAATACTGACAGGAAGTTATAAAGTAATCCTGTTACGGGTGTTGCATGAAGTGCATAATTTGGCATCTGTAACCCGGAAAAGGATTTTTAGAATACGCAATTACTAGGCGTTGCGGCCAGAATCAGTCTGGACATATCAATTCCGGGAGAGTTTTGTGTACACTGTTTTGCGGAATACGCATCGCACTCGTCAACAAAGGAAAGTGATCCCACTTATTACACTACACCCGTAGTTAATTTTCTAAATGCAGATACGTAAAGTAGCTGCGCAGATATGTCAGCGAGCAACGGAGTTCCAGAAGAGTAACCGCAGCACCGGGCACATCGCGGAGCACGGCGGTTTAACAGGGAGCGCGCGGAGTCGGGGGAAGGGTTGCGGAGCGGGGGCATTAGCTGACGAGCAGACCGCACGGGTCGGGGGGTGAAACGTGAAGTGTGAGCGGCATGGGAAGAGAACAGGCGGCGTCGCCCGCCCTGTCGGCCGCCTCCCCACCCCCGCGGCCGCACCGCCCGGGGCGCAGACCCGCGCGCCGGCAGGCACCACCGCCGCCGCCCAGCAGCTCGCACGCGAGCGCCCACCCGCCCTGATGCATCGGGGTGACTTCGAACCAGGCACCGGCGGCGCGGGCGCGGGCGCTAATGGCCTCGTTTGTGCTCTCCCCCCCCTCCCCTCCTCCGCGCCCCGCGCATCGGCGCCGAGCGGCCTCGGCCAAACGGCGCTTGTCCTAGGTACGGGCTGGTCCAGCGCCGCGGAGATCACGAACGGCGGCTCTCGGCGGCGTTTCGTGATTTCAATGCAGCTCGCTGCCGCACGTGAACGGGTTGCGCGATGCGCTTAATAGGATCCGTTCGGCGTTAGTGACGAGGAAACAAGAAATATAGGTTGCATTATTCATTCCGTGTCTTCGAATGTGTATTTATGGACTCGCTTTGTATTCTGACGGACTCATTTACAATGCACCGTATCTCAATCCGTAATTTATCTGGCGCATCGAATAACGAGGGATCATCTACTAATAGCATGTTCTTTCGACCAAACATCATTTCTAATTTGGAAAAGTGGTATATAATTATCTATCTTTACACACAATATGACATTTAAAAACAAAATAATTTACTACATAATAACAGAATATCAACTTATTAGCTACATCTTTAAAAATTAAACGTATACAAACATTTTTAATTTCCTCTATCTTTCCGAACTTACATCCACTATTGAATGCGGAAATATCATGCTAGGGGAAAGGTCAGTACATCAAGCAACCAGATTTAGAGAGAGGGAGCTTTTAATTGGGAATAGAAACTACTACAATTTATACCCAAGAAAACTGTTCAGAGGTATTAGGTAAGTTAGAATACCGGTAAGTGAAATGATCAGGTGATGACATTGCAATATATTAAGTACATATAAAGTATTTGTTGAGCCCTCCTTTCTGTTTCAGCACTAGAAACAAAACCTGGCGAATTACAGGAAAAGAGTTCTGAAAATATTGCGGTTTATGTGCGCAAATATTATAGAAGGGTAAAGTGTTCATAAAGCAGTGAATACCAGCCAATTTATTTGCCTCTTAAATTTAAATAGAAACTCACTAGCTCGCCATGAAAACTATTCGATTTCTGATAACAAAATGTATTATTATCAAATGTATTTGTCTTAGAAATTAATATTGTGGAAGCTAGATTTTTCGAAGGAGTTAATACGAACGGAAGTGTAAAATGTCTTTCTTGAAAATTCTAAATTAATTATTTACATTGTTATTTAGATTATACTATGACTTAGTGAGAGGTCAATTGACTACGAGAGGGATTAAACATACTTAACGGACGACTGACGTACTAGTAGGACATTGAAAGCGTTTGCGCCGAAACGTATATCATTGCACGTAATTGAAACCTCTCTCAAATCACCCTTTTCGAAGTAATTAGACAGCACATCGAACCCTCAGAGCTCAATCTGGTCTGAGTAATGGTCACAGATGACAGCGTTAGGCCCCGGCGTGTCTGGAAGTGCATGACGAACGCTGATTGAGGCGAGGAACGTGTCGGCAATGGGACACGCGAGGCGACACTCCCTTCAGGCAAATGCGCAGGTGGAGCGTGTGGCACTTAGCATGCAAATATTCTCGCCGTTAATTGAAAGCAGCCGCCCGCCCACTCCACCGGCGAACAGGTCGGAGCTTTGGAGCGATTGCATCCAACAACAGAGGGGGGGGTGAGGGATGAGGCTCTACAGAACGGACACGGAGAGTACTGCCACCCCGTCATTGACACCGAAATGGACGAGCTACCGCCCGCGACTTTCGCACGCTTAAGCTTTACGAGGGAGACTGCGAGAAAGTTCGCGAATTTACCTTTCTTACGTAGTAAATGTTAGAACGACGAATTTCCATCAATTTTTTGTCACGCGGCTGAGAGAAACTTCTGATGATCATACACCGACATTTTCCAGGGTGGACAACAATGATACGATGTCGGAGGAGAGTACGCTAGCTCAGGGAACAACTGAATCTTCACCCACGACTTCCCATATGCGAATGCAGTCGCGCCACTGAAGCGGTCAGCAATAGAAAGATGACGCGTTGGTCACGTCGCCTGGGCCTCGTGATTCGCCACATGTCGCGTCGCGTGGCGCGCGATTAGCACGGACTCCCCATAAACGCCCACCGCGCTCGCCTGCAGCGCTCCAGGGAAGTGACATAACCGCCGCAGTCGCGCCGGTTCAAAACAGCGCCGAAGGTCACCGTCGTAGGCGCGTGCACGAAGAATAACTTTTTTTTCTCCCTATTTGCTTGCCCAGCGCCGCACACTTAGGTTTTTGTTTACAGGGGTGAAACGTTTTAAATATACTATTTTGAATAAACTTAGTGACATCTTTGCCATCGAACAAAACAAGAAAATTCAAGAGATGTTTCAAGAAAATTTCATCAGAAGATACGTCAATTAGTCGAAACGAAGTCACGTACATATTTAAAATTGCTACAACAGTAGGACTTTTCATTTCAATAAAACGTGAAAAATAGTAATATTTCTTATACACAAAAAATAAGACGTACATTGCTTCTACCCTATGCATGACGTGTACGTCCCACAAACTATTTATGCAACTCTTCTAATACATAGCAATTAGACATTGACAAAGACTAGCATTAAGCATAAGAAATAAGACGCGTAGGTTTCAGTGTAAAGCAGACGAATATACAACCTATCACTTCATGAATACCAACGCATATTTTAAATCCAAAATGCCGTCAATATTCATCGCTGAATGATTTGTCGGGGAAAGCGGAGGTCCACAATAACCACCCGATTTCACTTGATTTACTATTCTTCCATGCTGCGGGAAGTATGTTACAAGGCTGTTTCATAAGAGACAGGCCGCTTACAGATAAGGTATAATAAAAAAATCTAAAACTCACTGATCAGCGGAACACCAAACCTAGAATTGGTATACCTGGATTCATTCCTTTTCTTATTAAAAAAAACAACAACAAAAAACCTAAAGAATCATTACGATTGGTACTGATTTGTAAAAGAAAATAAATATTGAAGTCAAACTGTGACGACCTTACGAAGTAATTCATTCGAGATACGAAGCAGAAACAAAACAGCTCAAAAACTCTTACAATAGCAACGACGGAAAAATCAATGGTCATGGAAAATACATGTCCCTAACAACTAGTAACCTGCGATCTATCCTTCCGAGGCGAGCACAATCCATCACGCCACGATATGAAACATTCCGCGGAATAACGAGCGGGTGCCGCGACACGGCACTTCCCGGAATGTGCGGCAGCCAGGGGTGGCGCGCCGGAGGCGATGACGCGTCCCAGACAAAAGGGGGCGGGGCAGGGCAGGGCGGAGCGGAGTCGGGCCTGGGCGGGGCGGGGCGGGACTGGCGGCGGCCACCTTGGCGGCACGGGGTGACGATCGGCAGCGCCAACACCCAACGGGTGCGTCGTGCGTCGCGGCCCCGCTCCCCGCCCCTATCGATCCCGCCTCGCCTCGCCCCGCCCGCCTGCTCCGCCCACCTGCCTGGGGCCCGCCGCCCTTTCGCAATCCCTTT